AGTCTGCCACTCTTGCCGCCTGCTCCCCTTTGCCCCACAGGCCCAGAGTTGGTTGTCTCTCTTCATGGTTTTGTGCCGACGGGGGCGCCGAGTTCTGCCTTGCCCATACTGCTCCACCTTAGGACCAACAAGAGCCTGAAACCTTGCCACAGAGGTGTCAGTGCCGACCACAGGCAGACACAGGAGGGCCCTTCCAGCTGCCCCCAAATATAAGAAGAGCTCACCGAGGGGGGCAGGGGTAGGTCACCTTTGCTGGGCTTTTTGCTCCGCTTGGTCACCTCATTTTCTTCCCTGGAGGTTCTCCTCTCCCCTTTCTCTGACTCAGTCTTCGATTTTCACCAGTGCTGTGACTGGGGGCAGGGAGGTGTCAGGGTTCCTGCTGCAGGGTTTCTGGGATCCTCTGAGCACGGGGGCCTGCTTGCCCTCGTTAGAGGAGACGGGCACTGGACGCTGTGCAGACCCCCTCGGGCCGTGGTAAAAAGCAGAAGCCGTTTGAGCTGCAGCGTGGAAACCTGGTCCTTCTTAGTGAGACTTTGCAGAAACCCCACCGGAGATTTCTCTGCCCCTGCCCTGTCTACTCTCCTTCATAATGATAAATGGCTGAAAAGAAAACTATCTAATCTCCAAACTGCTAGCTTTTTTTCTCCTCTTTCTTCAAGGAGCGAAGGAAGAACACCGTCACATAAAACAGAGTCCTTCATCGCCTGCTCCTCGGGAGACGCTTCTTTCCCTTTTCATCCGGGGCCTGTTTCTGATCTGGAACGGGGGCTCGCATTGAAAGCTCCAGCCCGGGCCCCTCTAATCAGCTGTGGCAGACGCTGCCTTGGCTCGGGTTGCCCATCGAAATTGAATTGATTACCCGGCCCCTTGGCCGTTTTGTTCTGCACACAATTGCTTAATAGCTGTCACCTTGGCTTTCAGTCCCCAGCCGGCTGGCTGCAGGCTGACTGGTTCCCATTACTGAGGATGGCCAGTGCAAGTTCACCACCTTGACAGGATGTCCCTGATTGATTCCGTATGCCTTGGAGACCTGTAATATATTTGCATCGGCGGGAGGAGGGCGCTATTGGGGGCAGAATAAAAGTCCCCAGGCCTTGGGAGCTGCAGGCGCGGGGGGGGGGGGGGGGGGGGGGGGGGAGGGGTTCCCCAACCCCCGTGCGGTGCCAAGTCTGAATCATTACCAGGGATTTTGGTCAGGAGGCAGGCCTCTGCTGACATCGCTGCTAATGAATTTGTGAAAAGGAAAATAAAAACGTTTACTAGATACCAAACAACCCAACCTGTTCTAACCCCAGACTGTCGCCACCTGCCACCTGGGCTGTGGTGACAACATTCCGACCTGGTCTTGCCTCTTTGAAAGGACTGTCTTTCCCGTTTTCCCCCCTTCCCCCCCTACCTCCCACCCCGACCCCTCCCCTCTCCGTCCCTGCCCACCAGCAGGAAAAGCCAGGGCTAGGAGGGAGGCATCTTTCAAGTGAAATCCTTTGCACTGGGAACTACTTCAATTAGACAGCAGGGGGAATGTTAGCATGCCCTCCGGCCTTTTAAGTGGGTTTTAATTTTATGTTGTAAGATAAGACACAGCAAGGCCAGGCTGCCGCTCCTCCAACAGGCTCCATTAGTGAGGAGAGTCGGGGCCTCTTGACCCCCTGAGGCCCAGTAGAAGATGGAAGTTGGTTTGGTTTTTTAACAATTTGTCAGTCGGACCCCGCTTCTCTTTTCATTCTCCCTAATGTGCATCCAGGCTCTTCTGTGGAAGGGCAGTTGGAGGACTGAACCCTGGTAGTTGAGAGCCTTTTCTCACCCCTGCCCCAGGTCACCAGGAGTCTAGCCCAGGGCTGGAGAACAGAGCCCAGAGGGCTGTCTGCCTGCCCAGCACCCCCCACCTGAGTGTTTCTGTCCCCCACCCCCATTCTCCAGCAGGGCCAGTGCAGAAGCAGACACTTGTCACGTGGCAGGTTTCTGGACCGATGATGTATGACCTGTTGGCGCTACTGAATGGTGCCCTTTGTTACGGGGTATCCCATGTGCCCCCTTTTTATTGACTTGTTGATTCAGAGGGGCAGGAAAGTTCCACAAATCCCACTGCAGGCCCTGCTCTAACCATGTGCAAGTGGGGAAGTCCCAGGACCTCGGGCTTTCCAGAGAGTTGGTAGGAAGCTGTGGGCTGCCGAGAGGCAAAAGAACCCTTTCTGAAGTAGCTTTCTTGACCGCAGACTCGCCCAACACCGTCTCAAGAGAGCTGGGGGATCATAGCCAGTGCCCAGCCCGCTGCCTGGGGATCCAGGAGACTGGCGGAGCAGAGGGTTCACTCACAGCAGGGTAGGTGAGTCAGGGAGACCAACATCCCACCGCCCTGGCTAGCCAAGGGAGGAAAGGGTCTGGCCCCTGCCTGCAGGAAGAAGTCCAGCTGGGGAGGACTGGCAGGAACTAGAGAAAGGATAGAACCTTTTTTTGTGGGGAGGGGGGCTTGCGCCGTACCCAGTGATGCTCAGGAATTACTCCTGGCATGGCTCCGGGGAGATGCTGAGGATTGAACTCTAGTCAGTAGCATGCAGGGCAAATGCCTTAAACGCTGTACAATCTCTGATCCGAGAAGGGTAGAACTTTTGCTTAGCAAGAAATCTCACCTTAATCCTGAAGAGGATATGGATTTAAAAGGGACCTCTCCTCTTGCTTTCCCTTCCCTACACTTTCCAGTCCAGCCCCAGGGAGAAGGTGGCAGGTGATGAAAGGCGCCATGAGGAAAGCCAAGCACCCGGGATCCCTTCCTATAGCAGCTTCTCTGCTATTCTTTGTCTGTTTTGTGTTTGGAGGTCATACGCAACAGCTCACTCCTGGTGGCGCTGGGGGTGGGGGACAAACTGGGGTGTTGGGATCAAACTCCAGGTCAGCTGCGTGCAGAACAAGCACTTAAGCCTCTGTTCTATCCTTCTGGTCCTCTCCAGCTGAACAATCCCACCAAGAACTTACGACCTGTGAGCCCACCTCCCCCAGATCACTAGGATATGGGTTCTTAAAGATAGTCCAGAGCCTTGTCAGCCACCTGTACAACCCTTCTGGGCACTTTGGAGAGCCTGGAATTCAGATCTTGATGTGGGGAGCAGCAGGAGAGCAAAAATCCAACAACTCCATGAGGGCACTGCCATATGCCCTCTGCCCCCTGGCCGGCACCCACACCCCTGCCCGGCACCCACACCCCGCACCCCCTCCAGCAGGGCCAGAGCAGAAGTAGATAGCTGTCACGCAGCAGGTTTCTTTATCCACACCCCGCCCCCAGACTCCAGAGGTGACCAAGGCTGGGATACACCGAGGCTCCCATCTGTCCCTGGGGTGGCAGACAACACAAGCGAGCAAGCAAGCATGACAGGGCAGGCAGAGACCATGGCTGTGCCAGAGACGACGACAAGGAGGCAGCAGAAAGGAGCAGCCACACGCTTCACAGTGGCAAAATGGCTTTATGGTCCAATAGGTAAATCAAAACGTCCATGCTATACATATCACAGAACACTGGCGCTCCACACCCCGACAGCTAGTGTGTTTTCTAATAAAGTTTAATCTGTAATGTGTGTGCTTATAGATAGATTTATATATTTATTCATTTATTTATATGTTTTATCTAAACCATTCTTTGTTTTTAACATCAAACATGTCATAAAAATTTAAATAGATGTCTTTCCAAAATACCCCCTCCAATGTTCATTTTTATTAAGTTTATGCATTTGTTAAAAAAAAAAAAAGCAAAGCTGAATTTGACATGTGGCCTGCATTTGTGAGATAGATAATCATTAATATAATATATAAATAGCGATTCCGCATGCAAAGAGTTTAGTGACTTCCCAGCTTTGGGGAGAGGCCCCAACCACAGGCCAGTGACAGTCCATGCTCCGGGGGCCCCAACATCCACCTCGCTGGAGAAGAACGATCTTGGTACCTCCCAGCTCACGGGCAGAATTTACGGACTGTGCAGAACGGTCTCTCAATTTGCCTTTCTTTTTCTCTGAGGTTCACTGGCTCCAGCAGCGTGGATTTTCGGAGAGCAGGACGGGCTCTGTAGATGCCGAGCAGCAGTTCCAGGTGTCTCCTGGGGACACTACAGGGAAATGAGCCCCGACGATGGAAGCAGACGGGCCCACCAGAGCGAGTCTGATACCCCAAGAGTAGGAGAGGCTACAGGCTGGGCAGGGAGGGGGCAGGAGGTGGGGGGCCCTGGTCTGGATCGATGAGACCTGGATGATGGCAAAGATCCTATCGGTGGCATTTTCCCTTCTCTTGAAGGAAAAGAAAGCTTGTTTTAAAAAATAAACAAACCTTCAGGTAGTACTCAGCCATGGCACCACTCAAGGTCTCCCCTTCAGCATTCCCAGCGGCAGAAGCTGTTTCCAAGCCATGAAGGAAGCCCTCAGCACTGCTCCTGGGGGTGTGCTTGGTGATCCAGCACAGCCCCCATCTCAGGGCCTCTCACAGGATCTCAAACCCCAGGAAAGGGGTGCCTCAGCTCCTCCCCCAAGACGTCCTCCACTCCCCCTTTTGAATCTACTATGTTTGCAGCAGAGCCCGCCCGCCCCAGCAGTGAGCTTCTCCCGGCAGCAGCCCCTGTGTGGGAGCCCTCATCACCCGGCCCCTGAGTGAATCAAAGATTAGGTCGGAAAAAGTAATGAAACAACACACGAATTCTCCACTCCCACCTCCCAAGGGCCTGTCAAGAGATGGCAGCTCACAATGGACTCAGGTCCTGCAGCCAAAAAAAAAAAAAATCGCTTCTTTGGTCAAGTGTGGGTTGTCTCCTTGTCATGGCCCCAGTTTTATATCCAAAGATAGATGTTCTCCAATCTCACACACACACACACACACACACACACACACACACACACACACACACACACACGCAGGCATATGCAAGCCCCATCCTCTGAAGTACCTTCCCATGTCTCTTGGTAGTACCTCTTGGAATCCCACCCAGCGAGGTGGGCCCCGGCGGAGCAGGGTCCTGGCCCAAGTCAGCCTTCAGTCCAGTTCTCCACAGCACCCACGCCTGAGTGGTACTGTAGTGACGCCTCCCGGGACAGGGAGAAGCTCTGGGAGTAGAGGAACTCGTTGGCAGCGTTCAGGTGTGGGGAGGGCGGCTTCCTCTCGCACACGCCGGGGAGACCCCGATCCCGGGGGAAGGAGGCGCTGGGCCCCCGTTCTCGGCCCTGAGACTGTGAGAGCTGGTTGTAGACGCTGAAGGGGGTGCTGGTGGGGGGCTGGGAGCTCTGTGCTGCCGACAGGGCGGGCAGCCGGGGCATCATGGTAGTGGCGGGGAAGTGCGCAGGGAAGGGCTGGTAAGGCACAGTCTCCACTGCCTGCACGCTGTAGCTAGTGTACGGAGAGACTGACGTCCACATGTTACAGCCCAGGGGGGGCGGCGGCAACTCATCCACTGCAGACACCCCAGCAATCTCGGGCCCAGAACCTGAGTACATGCAGGCCTCCCTCGGGGCCACCTCGCTGCAGTAGGAGGGGCTCAGCATCTGCTGGTCGTAGGGAGGGGGTGACCGGAAGTAATGGTCCTCCCCCACAGCAGAGGATGCTTCCAGGTAGGGCCGCTTGCAGGGTAAGTCCAGGTGGCGGGCACCATCTGCTTGGGAGACAAAGGAACCCTCAGAGAAAGCCAGCCCCCAACCCCACAACCTCTGGGCGCAAGAACAGCCTAGAGGCCAGGGCAAGGTCAAGCTGGCGTACCCTGACACCATGTGGCCATCCGAATCACAGCTTTGTCAAAGGGCAGCCGCCAAAAAGTGGCCAGGTCCCTGCCCACAGGTCAGAGGAGCTGCTGGACACCATTGATGCCTTCAACCAGGCAGCTCATGGCATGGTTTCTTGGCCATGACTTGGTGGTGTGAGGAGGCCTGAATATGTGCTGGAGACTGCAGGTGAGGCCTACCCTGGCCACAACACCAGGCCAAACCAGGCCCTGAGGCCACATCTATCCGAATTAAGGTCACAGTGTTTTTGCCTCAGTACTCAGCTATTGGGCAGGCCTAAACAAGCCAAAATGACTACCAGGCCAGGTCCAGTTTCTTTCAGAAGAAGTAAACCCAAAACACAGTTCCAAACACAGGCCCGGCAGCAGGCTGTTACACAGATCTCATCTGAACAGTGGGTGTGAGGTTTAGAAATGGAACTAGTCACAAGTAAAGGATGACTTGTACTTTCCAGCTCTGTATGGGAAAGATGGCACCAGCTGTCCCACAACACAGACATCCATCTTTCAGTGCTTTCAGTGTCCTTGACCAGGAGGGCTGGACTATCGGGAGTGGCCCCTGCTCCCCTAAAGCCAGGAATGACTGGGGACAGAAGACTAGGCAGCAGCATAAGAACCAGAAGAACAGGACAAGAGTGCAGCGGGTAGGGAATTTACCAAACGAGGTTCGATCCCAATCCCATATTCCATCCTTGCGCACCCACAGCAGTGATTCCTGAGTGCAGAGCCAGGAGTATGCCCTGAGCATTACTGGGTGTGGCCCAAAACCAAACAACCTTATGAGCTCTTGTCCACTGACTTCTCTTGGCCTCCATCTACCTGTTTTCTCCAGGGATTCCCTTTGGGAGCTGGTGGGCACATAGAGCAAGCAGGTGGCCTCCGGATGGCCTTGAAGGCCCACACGCACCTCCCCACCCCCACCACATTGGGAAGCTTCATCCCTGCTGAGGAGGAATGTTTCACTCACGAACCCGTGTCTCCAGCTCTCAGTGTTCCCTCCACTGTCCTTTCTACTTTCTCCCTGCACTAAGTTCTTGGTCTGAGAAAGTGGCCAGTCTCTCTAGGTTAGGCATAAGCCCAGCTTCTCAGTGCAGAACCAGAAAGCCAACATGTTAGGCTTTGGGGTCCTAAGGCCTTGTCTCATGGGATGGTAAATTGCTTCATGGACATCTATGCTACTCTCACCTGATGGGAGCCCCTGAGTAATTGTAAATAAATGGGAATGGGGTCAGAGAGAGCCTACAGGGGTAAGGTGCTTGGCCCATATGCAACTAACCCCAATTCAATTTCTAGTACTGCATGGTCCCACAAGCACTGCTGGGAGTGATCCTTAATCACAGGACCAGGAATAGCCCCTGAGCACCACTGGGTATGACCCCCAAACCCATAAATAAGTAATTATATAAACAATAAAATGGCTATGGTAATATTCAGTAACCCTTATAGGTACTAAACTTTGAATTTCATATAAACCATCTGTAATACAGCATGCAGTTACTCCTTTGATTTTTCTCAATTCTTAAGAATGTAAGCCACAGGGGATAGAGCGATAGCACAGTAGCTAGGGCATTTGCCTTGCACACAGCTGACCCAGATTCAATTCCCAGCATCCCATATGGTCCCCCTGAGCACCACCAGGAGTAATTCCTGAGTGCATGAGCCAGGAGCAACTCCTGTGCATCACATCGCTAGGTGTGACCCAAAAGGAAAAGTAATGTAAGACACATCTTACTTAACTGAACAAATACAGGCTGCAGGGTGGTTCTGAATGACGTGTTGTAGGCCAGTGCCAGCTCCTGCTAATCTGTTCTAATGGGGCTGGTGCTGGGGAGCTTTGCCTGACTGCCCCTAGAAACTGGGCTGAGAAAATGTTCTGGACTGCAAATCAAGTCAAAGTCTTCCTTCCCAAGAGGACTTCAGAGACCCTGTGAGGTCTGTGGGCAGAGATGAACTCATCATCCCATTTCACAGATGGAGATACTGAGGCCTGGCCCAAGAGGACAGGGATTCTGGGTTAGGCTCCTCTTCATAAAGAAACCAGCACAGGGGGCGCAGGCCCTAATCTTTACCCACCCCAGCCGTTTACATCTTCAGAAAGCCTCTGCAGACCCAGTAGAACGGGGCTGAAGGACAGATTCCTAACTCCAGGCTACCTGTGTTGGAGGGCTGAGAGGACACGAGGAAAGCCAGGCCCATTCACAAACCTCCAACCCTTCAGCACCCTCTTCCCTCACTGGAGTCCGAGTCCCAGTAACTGTGTCCTTGACCCACTACACAGAGACTCTTAGAGCAGGGGTGCAGAGCCACGCCAGGGAGGCGTGTGTATGTATGTGTGTTTGTGTGTGTGTGTGTGTGCGTGTGGTCTATGTGTATGTTTGTGTGGGTGTGTTTATGTATGAGGGGGTATATGTGTACATGTGTCTGAGGATGTTTAGAGAGTGTGTATGTAAGTGGGGGTGTTTATGTGTGTGGGTGCATATGTGTATTTACAGGTTGGCGGGGGCGATACATGTGTACATGCACGTGTGTGTGTTGATAGGCAGGTATGTGTGTGTCGGGGAGTGAGTACATGTGTAGGTGCATGTATACATGTATGTATGGTGTGTTTATGTGTGGATACATGTATACATGTGCGTGTATATGTGTGTGGAGGGGTGAGTGTGTGTGCAAAGGCTTGCATGTTTTTGGGGACAGCAGCCGCCCTCCTGGGGCCCTGTGAGGCGTCCAGACCAGGGGGGACATACCTCGTCTTTTCAGGCAGTGGTAAAAGAGGCTGGAGTCCCTCTGGGCCGGGAAGGTGTTGAGGGGAAGGTCCTGTGGCTCGGCGGCAGCGAACTGCATGTGAGCCCCATTCTCGTACTGGTAGTGCTGGAGAGCCTGGTGGGCCCCATGCAGGGGGCTGACATCAGGTTTGGCCGAGAGCTGGGTGGACACGAGCCTCTGCCGCATGATGCTTTTGGAGATGACTGGATACTCTTTGCTGGAGGGGTGGGAAGACAGTCACAGGGAGAGGGGGAGAGAGAGAGATGACACAGAGGGTGATGGAGGTCGCCTTGCGCCGGGACCCTTCCTGTCTCCCCTCTCCCAAGACCCCCACCCCACAGGGCAGGGCAGTCCCACCTCTGCAGCCGGGCTACACGCAGGTCACTGTCATCACTGCCCCGGAATCCCTTAGCAAATGGGTTGTTTTCAATTTTCAGCTGGGTGATCTGTAAGAGAGGACAGGCATTCCATGGGGTGTGTGGAGTCGCTGGGACAGGGACAGGGGTGAGAAAGTGCAGAGAGGGGGAGACCCTTCTGCTGGCCCTCCGGCCCCATCCAGCCCTAGGCCAGCAGGAAGCAGCCAAGCCCACCTGCCTCAGCCCCCCCCCCAATAGACCCGCCCACCCAGTGACCCTCCTCATGCTCTCCTGGGCAGCGTCTGGTCCAAGGTGCAATATGCAGGCATATCCTCTGCCTACAGCCTCCTCCCACCACCTCATGGGCCCCAGCACACCTGGTGTGGGCAGCATCCTGGGAAGTCAAAAGGGACAGAGACCAAGAGGCAAGGAAGGGGCCACCTGCCAGGGAAGGGGCACTGGGGAAGGCAAGCCGGGAGGTGGGGGCTGCCAGACACCCCCAGCACCTCTGACCAGCCAGGCACTAACTCTGGCTCTCAGCTCTCACTTAATTTACCATGCTCCCTGGCCCCCCTCACCATCCCTCCCCCTCTGCACACCTGTCCTGGAAATCCCAGCAGGGAGAAAACTCTAGATTGGAAGGGCCTGCTGCTCAAGCCACCAGGGCAGCCTCTCCTATTGTCATTCCCCAGGGCATTCTCCAAGAGAAAAGCCACTGTGAGCCCGTGTCCAAGGGGCCTGTGTTGCTCTGAGTGGAGGGGCGCCTTGCTTCCTGGGTCCCCAGCCTGGCCCCCTCGCTCTCATCCCCTGCAAGGGCAGACAGCTAATCGGTGACCAGCTGGGGGCCAAGGGGGCTGTGACTATACCTTGTGGTTCTGGTAGGAGGTCACGGAGATGAAGGAAGTCTCTGGAAAGACGTGGGTGCAGAAGGCTGTGTTTTTGGAGCCGAAGGCATTGTTCTCGTCAGCCTTGACAATGTGAAGCCGCGGCTGGTACTTGTGCATGGAGTTGAGGATGATCTGGAAGAGGAGGCCTCCCTCTGAGTTCAGAGGATCCCCTCCCCTCTGATGCCGGGGCCTGGCTCAGCTCACCCTGGGCTGCCTAAAAGCCCCGCTCCAGGGTCTGACTCCCAGAACCAAACTGAGAAAGGTCCTAATGTGTTCAAGTGCAGACCCAGGTCCCTTTGTCCCCCCCAACTCAGCCACCATGACCCTGTTTCACTGCCTGGAGTCAGCAAAAACCCTGGTCGGGGCCACCCACCGGGGACCACACTGCCTTCAAGTGGCTCGTCCACACCGGGCCCCCAGCACTGTGCCCACTCTTCCTGGTCCCCACACCGTTTCTGTGTGAATTGCCTTCCCTAGCAATACCCACGGTGGGCACCAGCCCCTCCTCTCATCTGTCCCCCGTAAAAGCAGTGTGTTGTGGGGAGGTGGGGTGCAGAGCTGGGCAGAGTGTCCCTCTGTGACCGTTGTCCAACCCAGGACTCAGCCTGTTTGTTTGTATCTTGCCTTTCAAAGGACTGCTGAGAGGGGTGCTGGTGGGACCCCCAGGTCAGCCCTCAGCCCTGCCTGAGCGAGCCCACAGCCCAGAGGGAAGCTCCATCAGGCATGTGCAGGAAAGACAAGCAAACAACAGCCAGGATGCCAGCCCTGAGCATACCTAGGGGTGGGGTAGTGGGCACCCCAAGCCCATAATAATGAGCACACAGTAGTCGCTGCTCCAAACCCGCCTGGGCCGGCTATGCCCCCGCGGTAGCAGCTGCATCACGTGCCACTAAAATGCATTTTTTATCGTTGACATTTGCCAGATGCCGTCCCCATTTGAAGGCAGGACCAGGAATTTGGGGCATTTTATCAACACCGGCTGCTTTGGTTAACCCTTTGGCTCCTGCCTTGGGTGGGCTGGACTGGCCCTCAGGTCCTGTTCCCCCCTGCAAACTCCTTTCTCTCCACTCTGGGAATGCCCCTCTCAAGCTGGTCCTGCTCACCCCCTCCTTTCCAGGGCCCCAGAACCAGCTGTGCCAATGCTAACCTAACCACTGAGAGATTTAACCCATGAGTAGCCAGAGGGCCGAGTGGGGCTGCCCCAGTGCTTGCCTGGCAGCCCTCGCTGACCCGTGGACCTAGGATGGTCCCCACCCCCACCCCACCTCAGTTTCTGGAAACTTCCCAGCCCTCAGGGAGTCCCAGGGCAGGGAGGGCCAGAACACAGTCTTCGCGGATCAGATCCTGTGACCTTGGATCTTACTGCTTCCCTGGGTGCCAGCCCTACAAAACCCAAGAGCGAGATGCAAGGCCAAAAGCCCTGCTCAAAAGGCCTCATGCTGTGTGTGTTTCAGGAGCCAGGAGCAGCCTCCAGAACATAGGAACTGAGGTTACTCTGTCCCACTGCTGCAGGAGCCCATAAAGGACCTAAATGCCCAGAAATGTGGCCTCATGAGATGGACTCAGTGCCTCTGGACATTTGGATCCCAGCCTCAGCAAATCTGCTCATGCGGTTCCTACTGCTATCTCTCTCACCTCTGAGTCCTGGGCACTTCTTCCAGGAAGCCTTCCCAGACCACCAGGGCCTGCTTTGAGCTTCTATTTCCTGAAACTTTCCCCCTCCTGAAAATCAGCTATTAAGCTACTGTGCTGCTTCTCTTGGTTCTTTGGTTTTGGTTTGGGGGCCACACCCCACTGTGCTCAGGGCTTACTCCCTCGGGCTCAGGTATGTGTGTGTATGTGTGTGTATGTGTGTGTGTGCACATATACATACACACACACACACACACATATATATATATAATACACACATATATACATACACACACACACACACACACACATTGCCGGGGATGGAACCTGGGCCAGCTGCCTGCTAGTGCCCTGCCTACTGTACTATCTCTGTGGCCCTTCCTGTTGGTTCCTGCCCCCTGCAATTAAATAACAAACTCCTCCTGGAGATGATCAATGTCCTAGGCAGGTGTGTGATTTGGTCGTGGGCACTGTAGCACCGTCCTCCTGTTGTTTATTGATTTGCTCGAGTGGGCACCAGTAACATCTCCATTGTGAGACTTGTTACTGTTTTTGGCATATCGAATACACCACGGGGAGCTTGCCAGGCTCTGCTGTGCAGGCAGGATACTCTCGATAGCTTGCTGGGCTCTCCAAGAGGGGCAGAGGAATCAAACCCAGGTCAGCCACGTGCAAGGCAAACGCCCTACCCGTCGTGCTATTGCTCCAGCCCTGGTTGTGGGCAGCAGGGGAAATGGAAAGGTCAGAGTTGAAGACAGGGTGGGGCTGCCCATGAACCTGGAAAGACAGCCCCAGGCAGGGCCGCTGAGAGGGATCAGTAAGGCTGGGGTCCACACACAGCAGCCTCAGACTCCTGGAGGTGGGCAGCAGGTTGGCAGAGGTGCAAAGAAGGGAGATTTGATACGTGGCTCCGGCTCCACTATGCAGCTGGGACTGCCACGGTGGCAGAGTGGGTAAATCAATCTGTCCTGAAGTGTCCCGACAGCCTACCACATCCTCTCTGGGGTGCAGGACCCTCAGAGACTGTGGTGAAATCCTGTGGCCCCGAGCCACTGTTTGGATTTCCCTGGGGTGCCCGACCCTGGGCGAGGCCTGCTGGTTGGGGAACTGAGCTGGGCAGCACCCATGGAAAGAGGGCCGAGCCCCCGGATTAGTTGCTGTTACAGACCTGCACAATGCCTTCTAGGTGACCATGTCTCTAGCAAGCAAAGGCAGGAAGGCAAGATATGTGTGGCCGAGGCTAGGCTTCTCCTGCTCCCTTCCTGACCACATAAGGGCGCCTGCAGGCCCAAAGGGTATGAAAAAGGACCACACCCTGTCCAGTGCTTGAATGTGAGGCCTTTCCAAGGGCCGTGCCTATCCCGGTACACCTAGCACACCTACCCTGCCAGTGTTTAGGGTTCAGTAAATGTCTTATCTTCATCATACGACCTTTAATGGCTTCTCATTGCCCCTTGGGATAAAGGCCAAACTTCTTAGCCCACCAAGCAAAACCTTCCCAGACCAAGGATGAAGAATTTCTCCAACATACCTTCATGGGGAGGGGACCAGACAGACTGGATGAGAGACCTGGAAAGACAGTGCCTGCCAGCCTTGCAGAGGCAGCTACAACCCCAGCCCCAGAAAATGTAAGAGGGGGGCAGCATCTTCTGTGGGTCCCTATTCATCAGCTGCAAATCATGAGCAAGCTCTTCTCTAGCCATTGGGCTCCCCATCTGTAAAGTGAAGCCTTCAGCTCACGGGTCCCAATTCTGTGGCAGGCAAGCCCCACCCACAAAGCCAGGTTAAGAAGCTGGAGTAACAATTGCAGTACCCGAGAACGGGAATACAGCTCAGTGACTCACACCTGGCTTCCTCGCCACTTCCTCGGGCACCACAGCAAACTACTTGCCAGAGCCTCACATTTCTATTTGTTGCAGGGGGAGGCTGGGCCAAATGGGCTGGCCACATCCACAAAGCCCATAGACTGAACCGGCCCACCGTCACTATTTCACAGAAATGGGATTCATTATGTTCTGGCTCTAACTCAGAAGTCTGCTCTGTTTTAACAACAATGATAGCGCAAAACCTCTCCTCCAATGACGTCCAGATTTATCTCCACAGAGTGCTTGGGCACGGAGGGGCGTGCCTTCGAGATCATTCGAGTCACTCTCCTAATTTTGCAACTGAGAAATAGGGGTTTGTAGTAGGAATGTTGGAGATAGAATCCAGAGACAAAGCCAAAAATATTCACTGGGTTTGGGCTTGGGCCGGGGCTCCAGTGGTAAAGGTATGCAAGGTCCTGAGTTTGATTCCCAGAACTTTCCTCACTCTGCCCCAGAACCACTGAGTGTAGTTCCTACAACAACAACAGCCTTCACTAGAAATCATGTGCTACTCCTGGTTTTTACTAAGATATCAACCAACACTAAAGGGAACAAGGATTCCCCAGGACCTACTGCCCATGAAAGAACAGCATATTTGGGTATGAGACACACAGGTTAGGGAGTGTCCATTTTGTCCCATACTAAAACTGGAGTCTCCCTTACACCATCATTTTCTTTTCTAAGACTGCCTGTTTATCCTCCTGAGTCAAGCAAACAGGTTAAGACAAAGAAGAAGCTGCAGCTTAGGAAAAAAATAGAAAAAAAGAAAAACCCAGGGTGGGCAGTAACTGACCCAAGGAAGCAGAGTGGAGCAGGTCAACATAATTGGTCAGGTCAACCACTCATAACTGACACTGGTCAGACAGACCTGAGGCCTCACTCCCAGGTAAGAAATGAGGACCTCTGGAGCTTCCTGAGCTTTTCCTAGGGGCCAGGCAACTCCTGGCCTGTTCTACACGTCACACCATTCCTCTTTACAACACCCCGGCACCGTTAGAATTATTTTGGTCCCGTTTTACAGATGAGGGGCTGAGGGTCAGGGAGGAGAAGACATGCAGCACACAGGGACAGAGAAGGAATCACTCCTGACACCTGAGTTTCTGAGTTACAGGCGCCTTTACCTGGCAGGGCAGAGCCCAATCTGGGGCTGGGCATGGGCATGGAGGGCAGATATCAATATCTTCCAAATCATCTGGACAGAGCTTGGCACAAGGTTCACAAAAGTGAGAGGAAAAGAGGGAGATCAGTATCTCAGGGACTTGGGCTGGAGACACAGCACAGGGCTCTTGTCTTGCATACAGAAGACCCCCTGGTTTGATTCTTGGCACCACATATGACCCCTCAGGTACCACTAGTAGTAATCTCTGAGTATGGACCCAGGAATAGCCCCCAAGCACCACTGGGAATGATCCAAGCCCCACCACCACCGCCACCCCAATAAATCTCAGGGGCCCTACAAGCAAGTTGGCAGCATAAGCTTTGGGGGACACCATCGGTCCCTGGTGGAAGAAGTACCTTCTGTGTAACTATCACCCCTTTTGCAGGGACACCTTCTGCTGACTGCTCACCAGCACCCTGTGTTTCACAACGAGGCCAGCTCCTATCACACAGTGGTGATGAACTACCCCCTGGTTC